AAAAAAAAAAAGTTTGTGGTTGTGCATTTTATATTTGCGCCTGTCTGTGATTATGTATGCGGTTGCTGTGACGGACAAGGTTGATTGCACTTAAATGCGCTCAGAACTCAGTTAAGCAGTTGGGGCAACTACAAAGCGGCCGCAGAAAAAGAAATTCCCAAACCAATTTTTTTTTTGCAGTGGAGCTTTGGAGGTTATTGGTTGGAGAGTAAATATGCGTCATAAAATTCCATCATTGATTTCCGAGTTTTATTTGCGGAGCCATCCCAAAGCTAGCTTCGATGACAATCCAGCTTTGAAAGAAGTTTAACAAAAATTTGTTCGATTTATGTAGATGATAATTACATCCAAGCGGTTTTCACAGGCGAGTCCTATTTTTGATTTTTTTTTTGCTTAAAAATAATAATTATTGTTGAGTTTTATTTTTTTACTCAAAAAAATATAAATTGATTGCTATTTTTTTGATCTAAAATTTTATGATTTTTATTTTTTTCGCTCAGCGGTAGGTAATAACAATTTTTAAGTTTTATTTTTCCGCTTAAAAATAATGATTACACAGGCCAACAAAATTTAAACAATGTTATGTTGACTAAAATATTACACCCGATTCTTATACGATTTTGCCCGTAGAATCCGAATCTGACCCTGAAGATATTATATTGGCTCTAGTCTTCGAACAATTTAGGTTTACAGGTGCTGAAAAATGCGTTTTTGGACATTTTTGAGCCTCTGTAAAATAATAAATTTATGCAAATTAAAAAATTATGGTTAAAGGCCGGTTTCCAGCTCTCAAGAAAAACGAAAAATTCATAAAAAATACGCATAGAAAATGGAAAAGAAATTTTCTTCTGTCAAAATTTCTTAATTTATAGCAAAAGCAAAGTGCTTTTTTAAGCAATAGAAATAATGAAAAATATTTATTGTAGTTTTTCTTGAGAACTGTAGCTCGTTTCTGTCTCTATGTAGTATCCACATACTGCAGAAATTCCTGTACCAATGTTTGAAGTATAACTCGAATTTTCTAGCAGTGGAAATGAAGATGAGGAAGACACCTTTAAACCTAAGTTGCTTGAAAATTAGAGCCAATTAAAAATTTTCAAGATTACATTAGGACTCTACGGCACAACTCCTATAAGGATCGGATGTAATATTTTAGTCAACAAAAATTTCCTTGGCCTGTGTTGGATGAAGGTTTGAGCTTCAATTTCAGCCTATTTGGAAATTTCCAGCGTCTCAGATTAATTTAACTCAAGTGATCAAAAACAGGCAAAACAAGATTTAAAAAAATCCTGGTTCTCGTATAAAAAACTGTTGCCACTTGCTTTCAGTGTTCGTACCATAATTTTTTGATTTTCTCAATACTTCGCAGGGTTGATCCTGTGCTGCGCTAGTTCTCCATAAAAGCATCTATCGCTTTGGAAGGCGGTTTTGGCATTCAGCCAAAGTGGCAAAATAAAAATCTCGTAAACGAGAAGAGATAGCAAAACAAATGCAAATGTATTTTAAAGCTTTTTAGGCGCAGAATTCAGGAAAAATAATCGCGTTGGACAAAAAAAAAATTCCTTGATCCTTAAAATGAGCTTAAGATATAGTAGCATTTAAAATGTTAAATAACCGAATTAGATACTATATTTGCAGTGGCTGCAAATGTCAAATATAAAATTTAAATAAGAGCTCAAAAAGAATAAAAATGTCTTTTCTAGACCACTATTTGAATGCAAAAATTTTGTAAATAACCACATACAATATGTAATAAGTACGTATGTACATATATATGAACATAAATCTATGCTTTGCTATGTTGTAAGCCACATGCACCTACAACAACAATCCACACTTATGTAATAGATAAATAAATCTATTTGAAACGGAAAAACGAATTTCGAAATTGATGTTCACAAAAAAAAACCAGTGGATTTGACAGTAAGCTGGAAATGGATAAATATGCATTTATTTATTTACTTGCAGTTCAATGGAATTGCATTACGCAAATGAAAAAAAAACAATGAAATTTTTGGGGAATTTTACACGAAAATGAGCTTTCTCTATTACAAATATATACATACCTACATATAAAAATACGTGAAATAGTTGCGTCATTGAGGTGAATGTGCTAATCAGCAGATAAATGAGTGCCATCAAATAGTTGGTTTAAAATTTTTGTGTATTTAATCCTTTGAATCATTTCCTTTGTTTTCTTTCATAAAAAAAAAACCTATTTTGGCAATAAGTTTATCGAAATCATTAGTTTAAAAATTCGTAGTTAGCGCCAAAAGCGAGCAATTTTTTTGAGTGATTTTTTTTTTTGAAATTTTTAATTTATTAAAATAGGGACAACTAGCTATTGCCCGCTGCTTTACATGCGTGAAGTTTGCTTTAACATAATGATTTATGATGTATCAAAACATATATGGGTCAAATTTCAACTAAGTGGACCATTTCAATACAAAAAAAGAAACACTTACAATGCGAAGCTAATCTTTATACTATAAATAAATTTTTTAATTATGTTTATGGGCGGCAATTTTTTTCAAAAATGTTCCTTAGATGCCACTATCCAATTCCTATTTTATTTTCTCTATCCAATTCCTATTTTATTTTCTATGGATAACTTTTCGAGATATTTGCATTTTACCGTTATTCAGCATTAGAAAAAATTTATTGAAATTTCACTTAAATTGTTTTTGATATTTTAAAACCCGTGACACTTTCTTCTTTTGTTTGACATTCCATGTTGCAATACTTCATTAAATAGAATTTGACTTTTAATAAGGTGGCAACCCTATTCAAAACAGAGCTTTCTTAAAACAGTTTAGGATATTTTCCAAATAAAGCTTTTTTTAAATATTTTTCGTTTGAAAGGAATAAAGTACATATTCATTTCTTTTAACTTATTAATTCAATTATATTTAACTTTTAAACAGATGGCAACCCTCTTCAAAAATATTTTCGAAAACAAGTTTTTTATGCTTCTTACGGTTGACATCCATATTGTAAAATTTTATTCAACATATTAATTTAGTTGCATTTGGCTTTTCAAAAGGTGGCAGTACTCTTCAGAACTATTTGTGAAATAAATTTTTCTTATACCTATACAAGTATTTCGTTTGACATCCATATTGGCATATTTAACACACTAAAAAGTTTAGTTTGACTTTTAAACAGGCGGCAAACCGCTTCAATTTTCAAAAGAAAGCATTTTTAAACACTTTTGATTTGTACCCATATACATGGTAATAACTGATTTAATTTTTTAAAAAATTATAAAATGTTTAAAAAAAAGTTTTTTTACGTCCCGTTCGCTTGCCATCCATATGGAAAAATTGCATAGAAATTACGATATAAGTTGAATTGAATGTTCTAAGAGTAAACTATATTTAAATAATAAATAAACATCAGGCAATCTATATTTGGAAAAAGTCCTAGTCAAATGGATTAAGGCCAGCAAACCATGACACGTCTCACAGAAACTTTTAGTAAGGTTATCAAAGCTTGGTTAAAAAAAAATCCTATATGTTAATCCGGGTCATAAGCTATACGTGTGTAAAATTTTATTGAAATCCCCCGAGCCGTTTTAGCATAGATATAATATTAAAAGTGAGTTCTTAGAATTAAAAAAAAAAAACAATATTAAAAATGAGAAATTTTTTCTGAAAATTGCATCCTCCGGAGTGTGAGTGACTCTTCCTAGATATTATGGTCTCGACTGAAGTCTCTTTTTCAGAAATTTCGAAGTATTTACTTTAGGCTTAGTGCTCAAGATTCAAAAAAAAAAAAAAAAGTATTTTCTTGCGACAGAAAGTAAGTAAGCATTTAACGCGCAACATTTTCAATTTTATTCTTAGATTTTCATTTCTTTGTTTAAGTTCTCTAGTATTTCTTCTTTTGTGCTACTTTTACGTCGCATCAACATATGTATGTATGTATGTCTGAACGGGTGCGTACATGCATGCGAGACACAAAAGCGCATTCAATACTATTTAAGTCGAATAAGTCAAAATGGCGCATTTCAAGCGGGAAGAGCTTCAGCTAAAGCTACATATAAGTGAATAGAAAACGCTATTGCGCCTATTGATATGCAGCGCAATTCTATATACATACATATCTATGTAATTTTGCAATTCAATTCAGGAAGCAAGAAAGCTGCTGCTTTTCGAATTGTGCGCCAGTAAGTGCGCATTAAATTGCAAACTCTTGCAACAAACAAAGCAGTACATCAATAAATGGAGGGAAAGAGAGCGGGAGAGAGAGAGAGATGAAAAGGGAGGGCGATGTGCGCAAATAGCCGACAATGAATGCATTTTTCATATGAAAAGAACGCGCTGCGTGCCATGAAAACGAAATTCATTTGGCATTTATTTCGCAAATGTAAAATTCAATGCATCAATTCAATCATTTCGAAATTGCACGAGGCAAGCGTAAGCGAACGTATAAAGAAATGATATGTATCAAATAACAAAAAAAAAAAATAAAAGTCAACGAAGGGAAGATAATGTTATCGCGAATGTATTAAAAATTCATAAAATCAAAGTGAAATGAGATAAACTGCAAACGGCATTTCTATTGAATTTCGCAGACTTTTTAATAAAACTGGCGTCATGGAACATTTTTCCAAAAGCCAGGTAAATAGCGCCAAGAAATTTATGATTTTCATGCTTAACGCCTCTGGTTTAATTATTTTCACCTTTTTTGCCTCTTTCTTTTGTTGACAGCCAGCATAAATGCAGCGCTAGATTTCGTGAGCACTAACGTAGTAAATTATTAGAAGAATGGCGCAAAAAATAGATAGCGCGTACATTTCAATTTCAAATACAATTGCATACTTTTGGGGTGATATCAAAAGAAATGGAAAATTTTAAGTAAACACAAAAAAAAAATTTTCTACTCACATTTTCATGCTTGAAAAAGCAAAGCATTTTCAATTCACGAAAAACTCTTTTCGATGAGACCAGCGACTGAAAGACATTTGGAAGTTTTTTAAGCGCAACGCGTCGTCCATCGCGTGGATCTGTGACTGCCCTGTAAATGGAAGAAAAGGGAAATGATTAGTAAAGAAAAATGTGAAATAAAAATTAATAGAAAATTTGCAAAGTAAATACAAAACAGCATAATTTTTTACCCTCTGCATCTTCATTAAAAAGCCTGAAACTAAAAAAAAATTTAAATCGGAAGGAGTTTCCGATTCTACAAAATTTTTGAGTGGCTTAGAGTAAATCGGATCCAGTAATTAACGAAATATGTAGTTTTTTTTTTTTTAATGTACTTTATTTCCTTCGAATTTTCAACTTAGTACTATTAGTGTTGTTGGTATCCCTAATATTGCATACTGTTTTCAGGTTAAAGAAAAATAAAAAAATTAGAACATTTTGAAGCCCATTTTAAAGGTCAAGGTAATTTTTTTTATTCAACCAGACTATTTTTCTTTTCTTTTCCAGTTTGCACTACACAACGCGGAGCTCGTTGTTGTCTAGGAAACCGACATTTGTTGCATCGTTCTTCATAAGTCTTCAACTTCAAGATATTCAACACACAGTAAGGTGTTCGATTATTCGCCCTTTTTCCAAGACCGGTTTGCGAGTCTTTCGGAAATTAGCAATTAAAAAAAACCGGTTCCCTATTTTGAAATTAAGAAGAAACCGGTTAAACCTTAAAAGTAGCTTCTATTTATAAAAGAGAAAAGTAAAATAGCTTCACAATTTTTTTAGAACAAAAGTAAAACAAATAAAAATCAGTGAAAAATTTACGTTTGGCCTTATTTATTGCAATTTTCTGACTTTTTTCGGATTTGAGTAGTGCTCTTGTCGCCCTAGCCGAGCGCTTAGATGTGCCTACTGCTACTCAAAAAAAGGCAAACCTAGGAGTGTACTTATTCGGAGCTGGAGTAAAAGTGTAGATCTCACCATTTAGGGGGTTCCCTTAAAGAGGGAACAAACCTTGAAAACTTCGAAAAACTCGAAACTTTTATTGAGAGGTCAGGATTTGCATGAAATGAAAAAAGCCGGTTCGTTCGGTAAAATAATTCGGTTTATTGGATATTCGAAAAATCAAGATTTCGAAAACCGCCTATAGATACCCAAAAAACCGATTGAAACCGGTTTGGGAGAACCGAGCCGATTACCCTAATATACAGTCGATTAATAAAGTTCCGGTACTGATAGGTTTTTGCAATACGGGCAGCGGTTTTTTTTTTTGCAATAGGCATAATTTTTTCTTCAAGGTGTAATTAAAAAGTATAATATTTTAATGAATATTTTTAGAATTTCCTTTAACACTTGCGCTTCAGAAGCTCGAGAAGAAAATTGATCAATCACGGTTTCTGATCTGTTGAACCAAGAACTCAAACAACATTTTAAGCAGAAATATTAAAAATTTGTATAAGTAAATTCGCAAACTTGTAAATTTGTAAAGATTTTGCTGGAAAGTGGCCAGCAGATGAGGGAAGCTTGAGTTTATCGAGACCACGATTCTCATTGAAAAATCATAGAGAATGTATGTATGTATATCATCGATGCCTTGGCAGAACCGTCCATCGACCTGTTGCAAAAGCGCCTAAATCGCTGTTGTGGCAAAAATGAGATTTGGTAACCCTGGTAAAAGTCGTAAAATCGTTAATAAAAATAATAAAATATTTTGTAGAATAATATTTAGTTAGAGAAAATAACGCCTATCAAGTCAATGCCTTCAAAGAAAGCCAATTTTTTTGCTCTCCTATAAAATTAGAGTACCGTAGGACAAGCAAAGGCATCGACGATATAATTCTCAGTAAAACCAGATAGATATTATCAATAACTTTTAATGCATTAAAAAAAATATAGATTTAAGATTATTTTATGAAAATTATAAAATAGAATAGACTTGCTTACATAACTACATATTTACATTTACATTTCCTGGCAGGCAAAATGTTACTTTTCCACAACAAACAAGATCCACAACGCAAAGCATTTTTAAATCAAATTATCGGAGTTAAAAAGTTAGCAAGAACTTAAACATACCTATGTGCACACATATGTATGTATGTAAGCAAAAACAACAAGACAAGTCAACAAAGTTGACTGAAGGCAAAACATTTGCACAGCCTGCAAAATATCCTGAAGTACGCGGCGCGGTGCGGCGCGGCGCTTTGTTGTCGGCCATATTTTGAGATTTACTACAACACAGGTTGTGGCAGAGTTTTGCACATTTTTGCGTTTATTTTCCTTTATTAAAATTTTTTTCTTTTTGAACTTAAAGACTGTAAACAAAATACTAAAGAGTTAGTTGTTTACATGGCGCCACAAAGGCAAAAGGAAGAAAAAAAAAAATTAGAAAATGGAGCTTAAATCGAAATTCGACGCAGAGTCAAGTCGACTCGACGACGAAATACAAAGCAATGGCCCGCTTGCTTACTTCGCATAAAGGAGGTAATCACATATACATACATACATGCATACGTACTATGTGACGCATACAGCCTTAAAAAATACACAAACAGTACACACCCTATAGGAAAGTGAGGAATGCTTCCACTTGCAAGTAAAATGGAAACATTCCTTGTCGCCGCTCGCAGAAACTGAAAAAGAAGCAATTGGAATTTGCTGTTCCATAGAACAAATTTTAAATGAAAAAAAAAGATGTCTTAAATCTTTCCATATTCATTCAAGAAGAAGCTTTGTGGAAGTATTAATTTTGTGAGCGGCTTTGTGGAATGTTCTCTATGCTTTCTGCGATCAGCGATAGGAAATAGTACCTTCTCCCACAACAAAGGGGAACATGTTTTCCTCATGCTTGGCGGAATGCTCGCATTTCCTAAAGGGTACTCTGCATACACACATAAACACACATAGGCTGAAGGAGAAGGAAGTATTAGTATAAGCACATAAGTAGATACATACATAAAAGCGTGCGCGCTGAAGCACAAAGGACTTGAAATAAGTAAGAAGTGGAGTACAAATGGAAAACAACTAAATGAATATTGTTAGGATGAGTGGCATGGAGCTCGGTGGAGTGAATTGGAGTGGAGCGGAGAGCAGCGGAGAGCAGTGGTGTGAAGTGGCGCAAGTATTGTCGTCAAAACAAAAGCGCCAATAGGGTGAGATCTGGCGCGGTGCATTTGCAAAGCGGGTGGAAAAGGAAGATGACGCCAAACGTTTAGTTCAACGAACTCGGACACGCAATGAGTGCTGAAGAAGAAGAAGAAGAAAACAGTCACAGAATATTGAATATGTTTTTAAGGAAGGAAATCAGAGCGCAGTACAGTGGGCCTTATTGAATATTGCAATAAAGCAAATAAAATACAATCTTGAGTAAGTTGAAATGAATTAAGTGCAATTGATGCGAGAAAACGAAACAAAATTAGTGATCTTTAGGGTAAGTTCGGCAATTCTAGCTAAGATAGTAAAAAGTCCTTCGTAAGACAAATGACCAGATAGTTCGAAAGACTTTTGTTTTTCTAGCACAGTGGTGTTAGAAAAAAAACCTCTCTCATTCACCACTCCTTTTTTATTGATATTTTTTTCTTTTTTAATTTAATTGTCTTTTCATTTTTAGATTTTGCTGTTTTAAAAATAATATTTTCTTATTTCATTTTTTTTCAGCTTAATTTTATTTTAAATTTTGATATTTTAATTTCATTTACTTTTAAGAAACTTTTTTTATTTATTTTTTCTTTTTTTAATTTAACTTGTTCTTCATTTGTTAGTTTGATTTTCTTTTAATTTTTAGTTTTTATTGTTTTGAAAAGAAAAACATTGTTTTTTAACTTTACCTAATTTTTAAATATCTACTATTTTCTTCTCTTTTGAATTAAATTTTTTTCTTTCTGTACTCTAATTTTGGAATTTTTTTGTTTTGAGAAGATTTTTTTGTTAATTTCATTTAATTTTTAAAAATATTTATTTTAGTAATTTTTGTTTTTTAATTTTATTTTTTTTATTTAGTTAAATTTTTTATTTATTTATTGGTTTTATGGTTTTAACAATAATAATATATATTTTTTAGTTTAATTAAAAAAAAAATATATTGTTTTTCGAAAGACTGTGGTGAGTACACAGTTGCCAGAATTGCCCTGTAAGTTTAATAAAATACAGTAGCGGCCATAAAAAATTGCCATAAATAATTTTTTCTTATTTTTTACAAAAAATATAGTTGACCCTAAAATTAACCCATTAAAATAAGTTCCAAGTTTTGTGGAAAATTCAGGAAAACGCTCCAAATTCTTATGAAAATTTTGACTTTTTTAATCACATATTTTAGAAAAATTTTAGTATACCAAAGTGCAAATTTGAAGTAGCTTAGACTTATCGTAGATTTTTGAAATTTTTTTTTTGTTGAAGGCGTTGCTCTTTTTTTTTTAAAGTTTGTTTTTATTTGAAAGAAAATGAGCAACAGCTAAGCTACTTGTACTCTATATATAGTATATAATAAACCCCAAAACTCTAAACCTAAATCTTTTTAAAATATGTAATGAAAATGTCGAAATTTCAATAAAAATTTCCAGATTTTTTTTTTTTTTAATTTTCCAAGAGGCCTGCCACTCTGATTTTTGTGGGGTTTGTTATAGGATGAGCTTTATTTTTTTTTAATAAAAAATCAGCAAACATTTTTTTACTTTAAATCACTGTATAATTTTTCTCCATACATTTCACTCTTGACCACTGACCACACCATGCTTTGTCTAAGTCTACGTGCAACTATCATAAAGTTGCGAAACAACGCGACATTCGCCAACACACCGAAGGTGGCACGGATAACAACAATAAACATAAACTGACACTTTGCTTTCAACTGTTTGTGTTTCGACGAAGTCTGTTTTGTTGTTTGCTGCTATAGAATTTTACTTCTGTTGTGCTGGATTGGGTGGTGGGCAGGTGAATGTAACAGCAGCAGACGTCGCTAAGTAAAGCCTAAGTGGCGCCAATTGAATTGTGGATACAAAACGTATGCGCATAAATAATAAATAGATGTGAGAGAAAGAGACGAAGCGAGAACGATATTACAGACGGGAAGCAATGAGCTCAGTGATGCAGACGTTTGTAGAA